GTGTCCTGTATTAAATTATTTTCCTTGCAAATCCTGACTACAACAGTAGGTAAGTCTTCAGGTATCATTTTCTTTTCTTTTCTTTTTTTTTTTTTTTTGGTACCAGGAATCAAACTCATGAACTTGAGCTTGCCAGGCAGGCGCTTGCACTGCTGGGCTATATCCCTGGCCCTTAGGTGTCATTTTCTGAAATGTTCATTTCTCCCCTAGTTGGCCTCTATTTTTTTCTGATAGTAACATGTGCATATATGACTCACTTTGCTGGCACTGCACTGGTACTTTGAACTCTTTCCATGTTTCTTCATTTTATTTCCTTACTAGTTCTAAATTTAATAATTCCAATAACTGTATCTTCACAGTCACTAATTTTTTCTCAACTCTTGATTCTACTATAAGCCCTTGTAGTGAATTTCTCATGATAGTTGTAGTTATGACCACAATTTCCCTTCAGTACCATTCATAATTTACATCTTTATATTTTCATTTTGGCCAAATTTTTTCACTGTTTTTGTCCATTTTTTCTTTTTTTTTTTTTTTTTTTTTTTTGGTCTTTTTGAGACAGGGTCTCCCTATGCAGTTCAGGCTGGCCTTGAGCTCACTTTATAGCCCAGGCTGGTCTCAAACTCTCAACGATCCTCCTGCCTCAGCCTCCCCAGTGCTGGGGTTACAGGCGTGCACCACCATACCTGGCCACTTTGAATATGTCTACAGAAAATGTTTTGGAAATTTCTTCTAGTACATGTAGCAATTGGGCTTTGCAAGGAAGGGTTTCTATCACTTTTTGTTTTTGTATTTTTTTTGTCTTTCTGAGACAGGGTCTCCCTATGCAGTTCAGGCTGCCTTTGAGTTCATGTAGCCTAGGCTAGTCTTGAACTCACCACCTGCCTCAGCCTCCCGAGTGCTGGGATTATAGGCATGTGCCACCATGCTTGACTATCAGTTTAGTTTGTTTCTTTGAATGAAGCACTTTTTCATTTGTTATCTTGCATTGTGCTAATCTCTGGAAAAGCAGAAATCTGAATATTACAATGTGGTTATCCTGGGAAACCAGGTCTTTCTCTTTATACTACTGTTGCTTGTTTTCTGTTCATTTCTTCAGTTGCTGTGGAATGTCTCTGGGCCTCCTGATCAGGAATGTAAAGACTTTTCAGGCCCTTTCTTAGTTACACCTTTCTTGCATATTTATACTGACGTTCTCATTTCCTCCACTTATGTGATTAGTTTTTGGTAATTTATCTTCAATGTCTTGCTCCCTGAAGGAGAAAAAGAGAAAATGAGGGGGGAAATGAAAGTAATTAGCCTTTTCAGTCCCCTAGAAATGGCATCAGATAGAGCACAGGAGCCTTCTAGCAATAGGGTGAGGTGTACTAACGATGCAGCCCCCCATCATAAATTAGAAAGGAGACTAAGAATACTCGGCACTGCAGGCCACAGATCTTTTTTGCCCACCCTAACTCACGCCAGCTGCCTGCAAGCTGCTCTTTTTTTGTTTTTTGTTTTTTGTTTTGGCGGGGGGGGGGGGGGGTACCAGGAATCGAACTGAGGACCTTGTGCTTGCCAGGCAGGCGCTTATGCCACTGAGCTATATTGCTGGCCCTGCAAGCTGCTCTTTAAAGTCACTTGCCTCTGCCCTCCATGACCCAGGGACTAGGACATGGGTAATCGCTACTTCCCTAAGAGTGAAATGCACTCAAATTAATCCCGTTATAAATAACTCCTGTCTATTAATTTTATTGTTACACTTTTGACATACATAATGATCACAAATTATATCTAATTTTTTCTGTGGAAATTACAAGCTTTCATAGGCTCCACAGTCCCAAAATACTCACACCCAAAGGATTCTGCCCCTGAAATTGTATTCTAGGTGAGGAGGAAGATTCCTTCTAATTCCTATCCTGCCATCTTCCCTGAATTTTATGCTCTGCAATTGAAAATTAACCAGATATTTGGGCCTTGTGACAAGTCCCCTTGCTTGCATTTCAGTTAGTCATACTGCTTTTTATGTGTAATTTTTTTTCTTTGCACTGTTCAGAATCCAGGAAATATAAGCTCACTACTTTTATTGCTTCTGTGAGAGCCTACAAAGAATCTAATCCAGAGAAATGAAAACAAATTGAACAGTGTCATCTTTACTTCAATCAACTCTTATTCTTTACCTAGCAGCTGCGTCGCCCCTGCACTCACTCTGTAATGTGAATATATGGAGAAAATCTGTGAAGGCCAGGCTAAATACTCACATGGGTCATCTCCTGGAGAAAGGGTTTATGAATTTCACAGTTTCTTCAGGTGAGTGTCTTTTTTTTTTTTTTTTTTTGTCTTTTTGAGACAGGGTCTCACTATGCAGTTCAGGCTGGCCTTGAGTTCACTTTGTAGCCCAGGCTGGTCTCGAACTCTCAGTGACCCTCCTGCCTCAGCCTCCCAATTGCTGGGATTACAGGCGTGCGCCACCACGCCAGGCCCCAGGTGAGCATCTTAAAGTAAGAATTTCCCTCTTGAGAATCTTAAGGTGACGAAAGGAGAGTTTCCACACTGAGAGGAGGGAACATCCAGGCATAGTGAGCACCTAGATTTAAATTTCTATGGGGACCAGCTGCAGCACCAGGGATTGAGGCTGCAGGAGGCTGTATTTCAGCAGTCAGGCTGGCAGTGAAGCTGGGTAGGAGAAATCGTTCCTTGAACCTTCTGAGGCAGCGTGAGTAGGGAACCCCAGCTGGTGGGCACCAGGCCTGGGCTCGATGGCTGCATCCTCCCCAAGGTGCACCCCGCCTTCACGTTTTGCCCCAAACCCTCTGTGGTCTTCCCATCATTTCCCGCTCAGAAATTGGTTCCCGCTGCCAGGTGAGATGTGTACTTCTCATAATTGACATGAAGAAACAAGTCATGGGCCAAAGTTCAAGGTATTTCTTTGGAGAATATTGCTGGCAATGCTGCTTTACAAAGCTATATAATGAGTGTTTAGACCTTTATCTTGGAAATAAGTGAAAATTAGATTCTTTAAGGAAACATTTTCCACGTGATAAATTATACTTGTAATAGGCAACATGGCAGACAATTCAGTTGCATTCGATGGTGTAAAAAACTCTTTGAAAGAAGTTAATCCTGATGGAGACTTTGTAATTATGCTCGCAGAGCTGCAGGCTCTTAACAGAGCTCAGGTCCACAGATGCATTATGAAAAAATACAGGAAGCTGGGCATGATGGCCCACGCCTATAATCCCAGCACTCAGGAGGCTGAGGCAGGAGGATGGTTGTGAGTTCTAGACCAGCCTGGGCTACAAAGTGAGCTCAAGGCCAGCCTGAACTGCAGAGTGAGCCAGGCATGGTGGCGCATGCCTGTAATCCCAGCACTCAGGAGGCTGAGGCAGGAGGATTGTTGCGAGTTCTAGACCAGCCTGAGCTACAAAGTGACTCAAGGCCAGTCTGAACTGCAGAGTGAGACCCTGCCTCAAAAGAACAAAAAAAAAAAAATTGATGAAAGCTTACTGACTGGTGAATGGGATCATCCATTACCTCTATCAGGTATTCATGTAATACAAGGTTGTAGAAGAACAGTAGTTACTGCTATAGGTATAAACTGGAACTATCTTTACCTTGGAGGAAGATAAAAAAGATAAGAAGAAAAAGGGAAAAAACAAGAAACAAGATGGAGCTACTGAAAATTGCAATAAAGCAAAAGCTCAGGACGGTGCAGTCATGGAAATGCAGCCATTAAAGAGTGAAGACAGTGGAGCTGGTAATGAGAAAGACAAAAGAAAACAAATTTGCCAAAAAACAAAAATCTGTTTTACAAGGGAAACTAACAAAACTGTTCAGATTGGCAAAGCAGGCCTGTTGATGCCTGCCATCACAGTTATTAGTCTAGTATTATATTTTGTAATTCGTACTTCCTGGGTTCAGGAGAGACCATGACTTGCTAGGTGCACACCAATTTACATACAATATTTCGTGAAAGTCTTTATGATTGGAGTTACCGTTTTAGTGGTTGCAGTGCCAGGACATCTCCCACTTGCAGTACTCAGTCAAGAAAACAATGAAAGATAACTTAGTAAGGCACCTGGAAGCTTGTGAAACCACTGGAAATGCTACAGCTATTTGTTCAGATGAGATCAGAATATTGACAATGACATTTGTTCACTTACATAAATGAAAAATATTATTAAAAAGTTCCTGAAGCAGAAGCTATTCCACCAAATATTTTGTCCTACCTTGTGACAGGAATTTCCATGAATTGTGCTTATAGGTCAAAAATACTGCCATCAGAGAAAGAACGTGGATATCCTCAACATGTTGGTAATAAAACTGAAAGCACCCATTGGGATTTCTTTTGGATTTAAAACGGGATTATCAGGACGTTGAAACTTCCAAATGCAGGTTGTTGTTTGGACATTGGATAAAGCAGACTGCCCGTCTCAAGTGGATCAAATATATGTGCTTGTCTTCCATTTTGATTGCTTTGTAGCAAACATCTATAGTTTCTATATAAAGTTAATTAACCGTTATTGGGATGCTTTCATTTTCTTGTCTGAAAATGCGTCAGTTGATCGCTGCGGTCTGAGACAGTCGTGGTAGCCATAAAGCCAACAGCCTGAACCCAAGATGGTGAAGAGTAACATCAGGTCCCCACGGTTGCCGTCCTGCCTAAGGTCAGGAGCTGTCTCCACGGGACACCGAGTCAGGAATTTCCGGGCTTACTGTGCCGTCATCTCAAGGAGAAAGTAACAGCAAGGGTCCACTCTGGACAGCCGGGAGCGAATTCAGCTTGAATACAACTCACCCCGAGGCTATGCCAGGTTCCGCCCCGTGAGGTGGCCTGAACTGAGAAGGGCTGGGGGCTGAAACCTGGGCTGCGGCCCCCTTGGAGCCAGGCCCCCAATCCCTTTCTTGTCACTCAGCGTTCACAGGGCGGGGCTCGCACCACTAGCCAATCTGAGCCGTGCGTTAGGGCCTAGAAGTATCCAATCAGGAGCGCCGGTGGGTGGAGCCTCCCTAGCACCGTTCAGCCGCGCCGCCATTTTGTCTTCCGTTAGCTCCACGAGGGAGGCCGCAGGTGCCTTTCTCTCGTCAAGGTGTTCCCCGCAAGGGCCCAGCACTGTGGAAAGCAGCGGAGACCCCGCGCCGGAGACCCCGCACCGGAAATGGTGAGCTGGCGGATCAAACCCTCCGCGGCCGCGTCTGGCCTGGCCTCGGCCTGGCCTCCCCGCTCCCCCTCAGTGGCGTCTGCGCCGCTTGAAGCCCGCAGGCCGGGGAGGACACCCGAGGCCCGCACCGCCCTGCGGTCCCCAGGGCGCGGCCAAGCTCAGGAGCAGGAGGCGAGTTCCTCGTGGCCCTGCGCATGGGCGTGGATGGGGACACTGGGCGCCGATGCTAAGAGCCGCTGTGGTCGGGTGGGGGGGCGGCGCTGGAGACGGGGCCACTTCCTTGCGGGGGCTGGCAAGAGAGGGGTCCCCCGCTGGGGCTGAGCCGTGTTGCCTGAGATCAGCCTGACCAGACATAATCATGGAGAAGGGGAATGTGGGGTTGCTCGGTGGAAGGAGGGGCGGGGGGGACAAGAGAGGTTTGAGGTGTTGTAGATAAAACATGTTTTGTTCCTACTGATAAACTCATCTTTTTTATTGCCAAGAATAGGAAACTGGGGGCTGGAGATTTAGCTCAGTGGCACAGCGCCTGCCTGGCAAGCGCAGGGTCGTGAGTTCGATTCCCGGTACCGGAAAAAAATAAATAAATAAAAGAATAGAAAACTGGAAATTGCGTGTGTGAATTTGTCCAGGCTAAAGATGGGTCGTCTAAGAGTTCTGAGAATGGGGTTCCTTTGCTCTCGTCCGTTTCTCTGCAACAGAAAGTGTTGTGAGGTGGCAGTTCCATAAAATACCCTCCGTTTAGGAGCAGGGTATGGTGGCTCACGCCTGTAATCCCAGCAGTCGGGAGGCAGAGGCAGGAAGATCACAGTTCAAGGATAGCCTGGACAACATAGCAAGACCCTATCTCAAAAAACCAAATAGTAAACAAATAAAATAAAAATAACTGCTGTTCAGCAAAAGTACAGCACTTGGATAAAATTGAACCTCTTCAGCTGGTTGTTTTATCTAGGAGTTAAAGGCAGTATAGTTTGTGCCAACTGAGAACGCTGGTGAGCGTCTGACTCAGAAAAAGACGTTTTTGTTCTCTGTTGGAAAAAGGGCTCATGTTGAGAATTTATTGGGTCTTTGTCCCGAGTTTCTTCATTAAGATCCTAAAACTGATTGTTTTTGGTTGTTCATAACATCTTTCATCTAATCGTAGTTTAAGGTGGTGAGGCAACTCAGGCAGTGAAAGACGGATGTTTCATTCTGGGGACTGGTGAAAAGACAGAACAAGCACATGCTTTGTACAGGTGGCTGCAGTAGGTTCCTAGTGGAGGGACTCTGTAATCTATGCTTACTCAGTGGTGTCATAATTGAATTGTTGGACACCCAGTTAATGCCAAAGATTTGGTTGATATTAAGTACACACCACTCATTTTTGTGTCAGCATTGATGACAGAAAAAGAGATCACAGGTGAGGCCCTTAAAGTGACTCCAGTGACTGATGAATACTGAGAAAGAAGGTCCAGGAGGAAGGAGGCTTTCACACTGAGAGAAAGCCATGAGGTGAGGGGCCCCAAATTAAATTGTTTGATCAGATTCCCTTACTTGCTACCTATGATTTAGCTGCACTACTCTACCTGTCCTCTGGGCAGGAGGTCCCCAAGCACCAGTGTGGTTCTAAATTCTGAGTGTGGATTTGTCAAGTTTGGGTGGAGTTGGCTTCTTTGACTTTTTTTTCTTGTCTTTTTGAGACAGGGTCTTACTATGCAGTTCAGGCTGGCCTTGAGCTCACTTTGTAACTTGCAACGGTCCTCCTACCTCAGCCTCCTGAGTTCTGGGATTACAGGCATGCACCACCACACCCAGCGTCTTTGACCTTTTGACCTTTTATTTCCTTGGTAGAATCCTGTTGCCATAAAATTCCACTTTATAAACTATTTCAGGATTTTATTTTGGGACTTGGGTGTAAGAATGTGATTTTCTTGGTTGGAATCTAAGTGGTTTAAGATTTGAAGTATTAAAGAGTTAGGTAAACTGTGAACACTAATTTTAATGACTGCATACTGACAACATGTGACATAATATACAGTTAATGTTTAAATTTAGAAAAATTTTTACATAAAGACACATTGCCATCAGTAACCTCCAGAATACTTCCCCTTGGTTTAAACACTTATCTCAGCTCTTTCCACTTTCTGAAGCAATTGTGGAAGTCTTTTATGTGTCTTTAGTTGTACTTTTATGACTGTCTTGATGTCACGAATTGACTCCAAAGGTTTACCTTACAAGGGGAGCATCTACAGTTACATGGTCCCAGATCTCATTCATAAAATAATAAGGGCACACTCTAATGTTTACATAAGCTTGTCTTTCCATTGGATTGCACTCAGCAGGAATTCACTATATTTTTTAATCACACTTTGTAAAAGATATGAAAGACTTTCAGTACTGCTTCAGAAAGTGCAAGAATGACAGGGTAAGTGATGGATTGAGGGGGTGAGTTTTTGGAGGGAGATTAATGGCAATGTGTCCTTAACTGCAATAAATTTTTTAGACTATGTATTCACTGTTCATTACCTCCCTTTATACACAGCTACCCTCACATAAGTCACCACAAGTAGATACAGATACTCCTAATGTAGCCCTTGGAGGATAAGACTGATTTTGTCATTAAGGCACATAAACATGGATCTGCCAGACCCATATTTATTCTTTAGAATATTTCTGTGGAGAAATTATGAATTTTAATTTTATGAGTTTTATTATATTAAACAAGTATTTAACAGGAAAAATATCACAAAAACACTGATTTTTTAATATTTATTGTTTATAACACAGCATCAAAATTTTCAGGATTGACTGCCTTTTGGTGTACAAAATCCAAAAAAAAAAAATGAGAAATAAATTCCCATATGAACTACAGTGAGAATACCAGTAGCAGTCTACCAAAAAAATCTTTACTTCAATTATCACACGTAAGGCAATTTGCACACATGACCACAGCACATTCCATTATATTGATAGCGCATGTCTTTTGCTTTCCTGGACTTTTTGTAGGACATACTTTCTCGGGTTAATATTATCCCTTAGTTATTGCAGACCAATCAGGTCCGCAATCTCCCAAACAAGTGGACAGTGAAGGCTAAATAAAAGAGACAAGTGGAATGATTTCAGGGCTTCAGGAGGATCAAAACCCTCACAGAATTCAAGATTCTAATGGGGCTAATACCAAGATCTTCTCTGGGAGGGGAGTACTCAAGAAGGGCAAAACCTCTCAAGGACTTCTCCAGGTAAGACATTAGGTTAATTTAGGAGAGCTGTGTTAACTCCAGGAAGCTCTTCACCCAGGAGTGAGATGCCTGAGGCTATAGTCTTCATCTAGTTGAGGTTGGAGCTCGGTGCCTTTAGCTGTGACATTGTCTTATCCTTTGAGGCTTCATGGCTTCAGCCACCATTACAAGCCTCACTAGGGATCAGTGACTCACAGGGGTTCACTTACTATGAATCCGATGCCCATCTACAGACAGGGAGCCTAGGATTTGGACAGACTCACAAGTAAACATGGAAAGTCAATTGGTTAAGTCTTGCTCAGAACTGCTTCATACATCTCCATCAGTCCTTGATATCTCATTGGTCTTGTTTTGTTATCAGGAAGTTCTTATATTGTACAGTGTGTAGTTAATAGGAACATAAAATATCAACAGAATTATCAGATTCTTAATATATATGGTTCGTCTAGAATAGGCATCCACATTTTCACATCAGCTGTATACTTGCTTACAAAACCTAAAAGATAACATCAGAAATAAATTCTTTATGGAACTACAGTGAAAATTCCAATACAACTCTACCACAAAAATAAGCTTTGCTTCAACTGTCACACAAAGCAGTCGTCACACATCACAATTGTATGTTCCATACACAAATATTGCTTACACGGATAGTACATATGTTTTGTTTTCCTGTACTTTCTTGTAGGGCACAGCTGACATCTCTTGTGATTTCCTGTTGTTGTAGTAGGTCTTCGTGGTGCTGCACCTGCCTATTCACTTGTGCAGTGTGCTGCACAATTTGTTGGCATAGTTCCTTGGGCAGAAATATTTTGTTTTTTCTCTGCTGTAGAAATACTTTGTTTTTTCTCTCTTATGAGCTCCAGTCCCAGTCCTCTAAGAAAATTTTGCCATGATATTTTGTACTTGTTATTTTCTTTGTACGCTATCAAACTATTTAAGCCACATATGTTGAGGATCAAGTAAAACACATCCACTGGCCAATGCATCATGTTTCAAGGGACATCATAGTTGCTACATAACTCATCGACAATATCTACTCCACATTTGGTTTTGTTGTTGAAAGTTTCCATGTCAGGTTTCCATTTTGTCATGGTTTCCCTATCAGTACTTCTGGGTGAAATGTTGGCAGGAGTATGAATTTGTTTGTTTGTTTTCTTTTTTTTTAAGTTTTGTTTTGTTTTTGTGGTTTTTTTGTGTGTGTGGTTTTTTTCCGGTACCGGGAATTGAACTCACAACCTTGTGCTTGCCAAGCAGGCGCTGTGCTGCTGAGCTAAATCCCCAGCCAGAGTTTGTTTTTCTTTACCATACATAAGGCCAATGTTGTATCTTTTAGAAATTCACAGACTGTACTGTACAGATCTCTGTTTTGAAATTGCAACATTTCATTTGGTTTTTTTTGTTGTTGTTGTTCTGTTTTGTTTTTCCAATACCAGGAATCAAACTCACGACCTTGTGCTTGCCAGGCAGGCGCTGTGCCACTGAGCTAAATCCCCAGCCCCCAACATTTCATTTGGAATTTCTGTTTTGTTCCTGTGTACAGTTCCTGTACTGGTCAATTTGTGCTGTGTTAGCAAATGTAACATCAGTTGGGAACCAGTAAACCAATTGTTAAATGTCACATTCCTCTTTGTTGGGAGATGGGATCAATAAGTCTGTTCACAACATCATTCAGTTTATTACTTTATGAATAAGGGCCTCATGGCTGATTCCAGGATAAATGTCTAAATTGAAAGAATAATAAGTCTTCACATCTACAAGAGCATAAATTTTTATGCCATATTA